GTGGAAGTGGGTGTATGTCTGTCTGCTCGGAGGTATTTCGATGTTTGTCTGTTTGCTTAACTGGCTTCGTATACTTGAAGTGATGTGCGCGTGTGTGTGTGTAGGCTTGTGTTTATTTATAAGGTTCAACTATTTATGTATTTATGTGTAATGTGTGTGTGTGTGAGTGTGTGTGTGTGTGTTTGTGTGTGTGTGGTGTGTGTGTGTGTGTGTGTGTGTGTGTGTGTGTGTGTGTGTGTGTGTGTGTGTGTGTGTGTGTGTGTTGTGTGTGTGTGTGTATTATCTGTTTTTATATATGTACGTCAGTATTTCTGTCTGTCTGTACAGATACGTGTTTGTATATATGCGTTCATGTCTGTCAGTATATCTATATGTATGTATGTATGCAAGTATGTATGTACGAATGTATGTATGTATGTGTGTATGCAAGAATATACATATTTATGTATATATGTGTATATAAGTAGTTATATGCGTAAATAGATATGTATCCATGAATTTTATCGCTATTACGTATCTAACCATTTCAAAACCAATCCATTATTTTTTTCTCCTCTCATTCACTCATTCTCCTTCTGTCTTTCCTTCTTCCCTTTTTATCAATCCCTTTTTTTCTCTTCTCTTCCTCGACCAAAGACTTACGAGTGATATCTCTTCTGATATTTGTTAATTGCGATAAGAAGACGCTGGATTATAACTACTTATAGACGAGATGGAGAAAAGGATGGTGGATATGGGAGGGAAAAGGAGGGAGGGAGAGAGAGAGGGATGGAGGGAGAGGGAGAGGGAAATGGAGAGGGAAGGGGGAGGGAGGGAGAGGGAGAGGGAAGGGAGGGGAGGGAAGGGGGAGGGAGGGAGAGGGAAGGAGAGAAAGAGGGGGATGGAGGGAGAGGAGAGGGAAAGGAAAGGAGGAGGGAGGATAGAGAGGGAGAGGGAGAGGGAAAGGAAAGGAAAGGGGTGGGAGGGAGACGGAAGGGGGAAGGATGGAGATAGGGAGGTGAGGAGGTTAGAAGGAGAGGGAAGGAGAAGGGAGGAGGTGCGAAAGGGAAAGAAGGAGAGAAAGGGGGGAGGGAGAGGTGAGAAAGAGGTAGGGAGGAGAGGTGTTAGGGAGAAAAGAAAGAAGGGGGATAGGAAGGAGGGAAGGACAAACGGACAGATAAAAAGAAAAAACACAAATTACACACATACTACTAGGATAAAAATAAACACGACACAGACACACCCTAACAACCCCCACACACACCCCACAACACAGACCCACAGACCCCCACAACCCACAACCCCCCCACACACCCCCGTCCCACTGCCTCCAGACCTCACGCACCTGAACCGTGTCATAAACAGCGCGGCATAAGAGGGAGTCATCTGCCGCGAGAGAGAGCTGCCGACGCGACTCAATTTGGTTAATCAGATTAAACTTAGTATAGTTAATGATCACTTAATTCCCAAGTTGAGATCGTGCATTAGACTTGCATCTCCGGATTCGAGGGAGCGAGGTCCGTGAGGGTCATTGACTTTATCAAGTTTTTTTTATCGTTATCTTTATCATTGTTATTAATTCATTCATTTCCTTTATCGTTATCTGAAGTGCAAAAAATATAGTTTCGTCTATTAATAAGGGGTTTCGTATAATGATAGATAGGTAGGTAGGTAGATAGGTAGATAGATAGGTATGTAGACAGATGGATAGACAGATAGATAGATAGGTATATAGACAAATAGACAGACAGATAGATAGATAAAATAGGAGAGAGAGAGAGAGAGAGAGAGAGAGAGATAGGTATATAGACAAATAGACAGACAGATAGGTAGATAGATAGATAGATAGAGAGAGAGAGAGAGAGATAGGTGTATAGACAGATAGACAGACAGACAGATAGATAAGATAGATAGTAAATATAGACAGACAGATAGATAGATAATAGAGTATATAGACAGACAGATAGATAGATAGATAGACATATAGATAGATTAAAGCAGTTTGACATAGACACAGGAAACAGACAACATAGACAGACAGACAGATAACAAACAGAAAGACAGATAACAAACAGACACCCCAACATACAAATAGACACAAAAGACACAGACACAGACAGGGAAAAGAAAGAGAGAGACAAAAAATTATCGCGAGCGAGCGAGCGAGGTAGCACCCCTGCCTGCTGTATCCCAACAACCCAGCGAATCGCCTCCTTTCCCCAGCATCCCTTAAGCAATTAAAAGTTTGCAGGTAGATGCGGCTGAGAGAGTCTATGTGTAAAAAAGGAAAAACCCGCAGTCACGTGGTCTTGGAGGATATGGACGTCAACTTAAAAAAAAAGGGGGGGGGGGTAGGTTAAGGTAAATAGTAGTTTGGGAAAGAGATTAGGGGGGGAGGAGGGAGTGGGAGGGGGAGGAGGGAGAGGGATGGGGGGAGGGGAGGGGAGGGGAGGGGGGGGGAGGGGGAGGGGGAGGGAGGGGGGAGGGAGGGGGAGGGAGAGAGATGGGGAGGGGGGGAGAAAGGGGAGGGGGAGGGAAAGAGAGAGAGAGAGGGGGGGGGAGGCAGAGAAAGAGAATGAGAGAGAGAGAGAGGGGGGGAGGGAGAGAGAGGGGGGGCAGAGAAAGAGAAGAGAGAGAGAGAAAGGTGGGGAGGGAGAGAGAGAGAGAGGGAGGGAAGAGAGAGAGGGGAGGCAGAGAAAGAGAAAGAGAATGAGAGAGAGAGAGAAAGGCAGTCAGAGAGAATGAGAGAAAAGAAAGAGAGAGAACGAGAGAGGAAAGGGGGAGAGAGAGAAAGGAAAAATTGTGAGAGAAATTATTAAAAGTAAGAAATGCTAATGAAAGAAAGGTAGAAAGATCAAAGAAAAAAAGTTTTTTTTGGGGCGTCGAAGTGGAATGAAATAAATAGAATATGATAGAAAAAGAAAAACAAATTAAGTCATCGAAACGCATATAGACCTCTTATTAATGTTATGATATAATATGATATGAAATAAGTTTAATTTCCAAAAAAAAGTTTTAAAAAAAAAAAAAAAATCATATCCCCCTCCCCCCCCCACACACACTTCCACCCACCCACCCACCATACCCCCCTCCCACCGAAAAAAAAAATCCCACCCCCAACCATTCCCTCCCCCTAACGCCCCTCCTCCCCTCCCCACCCCCTCCCCCACCCACGCCCACGCCCACGCAGAAGGACACCGTCGCGAGAAGTGTCCCGAGATGGCGTGACCCGGGCTTGGGTCAAGTCAGGTCGCCGACAGAGGGCGTGCACAGCGGAGTGATCTGGAGTTGAAAGCGGCTTAACTCCGCCGGGTGAACACGACTCAATGTAGCGGGCTCTGTAGACGGTCGTGGGGGGAGGGGGAGAGGGGTGGAAGAGGGGGAGTAGGAGGTGCGTTGGATGTGGGTTGGAGGAAGAAAGGAGAGGGGGAGGAGGATTGGAGGGGAGACGAGGAGGGGAGAGGGGAATGAGGACGAGGGGAGGAGTGGAGGAGGGAGGAGAGGAGAGGGGTTGGGTGAGAGGATGATAGGGGAAGGGAGGGGAAAGAGGGGGAGGATGGGAGGGAGTAGGGAGAGAGGTGGGTATGGAGAGGAAAGAGAGGGTGGGGAGGATTGGAGGAGAGAGGAGGAGGGGAGGGAGGGAGGAGGGAGGGGGGTGGGTTGGATGTGGGTTGGAGGAGGAAAGGAAGGGGGAGGAGGGAGGAAGGAGTGAGTAGGGAGAGGGGGTGGGTTGGATCAGGGTTGGAGGAAGGAGAGGGGGATGAGGAGGAGGGGAGAGAACGGAGAGGGGTGGGTTGGAGGAAGAAGGAGGGGAGGGGGTGGGTTGGATGGGTATGGAGGAGGAAAGAGAGGGGAAAGAGGGGAAGGAGGGAAGGAGGGAAGGAGGAGGGGAGGGAGTAGGGAGAGGGGGTGGGTTGGATGGGGGGTTGAAGGAGGAAAGGAGAGGGGGGAAGGAGGGAGAGAGGGGGGTTGGGTGAAGGACTATAAACAGCGAGAGAACCAAAGACAGCAACCAGAGGCATGGAGAGAAAGAGACAGAGACAGAGACAGAACCAGACGGAACCAGAGACAACGAGAGAGAGAGAGCGAACCAAAGACAAACAGAAGCAGAGAGAAGCATACGCTGAAACGACAGACAGAACCAGAACAGAAATAAGGAGAATTAGAGACAAACAGACACAGAACCAGATCTAGAACCAGAGCCAAGGAGAACCGGAACCAGGGAGAGAGAGCGAACTAGAGACAAAACAGAACCAGGAACCAGAGCTAAAACCAGAGACAGGGAGAAAGACCGAACCAGAGACATAACAGACACGGAACTAGAACCGGAGACAGGGAGAGAAAGCGAACCACAACCAAACAGAACTAGAAACAACAGACACGAAACGAGAACCAGAACCAGAACTAGAACCAGTGACAAGGAGAACCAAAGGCAGGGAGAGAGAGCGAACCAGAAACAAACAGACACGAAACCAGAGCCAGAACCAGTGACAAGGAGAACCAAAGGCAGGGAGAGAGAGCGAACCAGAACCAAACAGAACTAGAGACAAACAGACCAGGGAGAAAGACCGAACTAGAGACATAACAGACACGGAACCAGAGCCAGAACCAGAGCCAGGGAGAACCAGAGAGGAGAGAGAGAGCGAACCAGAAACCAAACAGAACCAGTGGCAAACAGACCAGGGAGAAAGACCGAACCAGAGACAAACAGACACGGAACCAGATCCAGAACCAGAACGCAGAGCCAGGGAGAACCAGAGCCAGGAGAGGAGAGAACGAACCAGAACCAAACAGAACCAGTGACAAACAGACCAGGGAGAAGACCGAACCAGAGACGTAACAGACACGAAACGAGAACCAGAACCAGTGACAAGGAGAACCAGAGCCAGGGAGAGAGAGCGAACCAGAACCAAACAGAACCAGAGCCAGAACCCAGGAGAGAGAGCGAACCAGAACCAAACAGAACTAGAGACAAACAGACACGGAACGAGAACCAGAACCAGAACCAGAACTAGAACCAGGGAGAGCGAGCGAACCAGAACCAAACAGACACAGAACCAGATCCAGAACCAGAGCCAGGGAGAGAGAGCGAACTAGAGACAAGCAGAACCAGGACCAGAGTTAGAACCAGAGCCAGGGAGAGCGAGCGAACCAGAACCAAACAGAACCAGAGACAAACAGTCACGGAACGAGAACCAGAACCAGTGACAAGGAGAAACCAGAGCCAGGGAGAGCGAGCGAACCAGAACCAAACAGAACCAGAGACAAACAGTCACGGAACGAAGAACCAGACCAGTGACAAGGAGAACCAGAGCCAGGGGAGGAGAGCGAACCAGAACCAAACAGAACTAGAGACAAACAGACCAGGGAGAAAGACCGAACCAGAGACATAACAGACACGAAACGAGAACCAGAACCAGTGACAAGGAGAACCAGAGCCAGGGAGAGAGAGCGAACCAGAACCAAACAGAACCAGAACCAGTGACAAGGAGAACCAGAACTAATGACAAGGGAGAACCAGAGCCAGGGAGAGAGAAAGCGAACCAGAACCAAACAGAACCAGAACCATGACAAGGAGAACCAGAGCCAGGGAGAGAGAGCGAACCAGAACCAAACAGAACTAGAGACAAACAGACACGGAACGAGAACCAGAACCAGAGCCAGGGAGAGAAGCGAACCAGAGACATAACAGACACGAAACGAGAACCAGAAGTAGAACCAGTGACAAGGAGAACCAGAGCAAGGAGAGCGAGCGAACCAGAACCAAACAGAACCAGAGACATAACAGACACGAAACGAGAACCAGAACCAGAACCAGATGTAGAACCAGAGCCAGGGAGAGAGCGAGCGACCCCACGTAATCTGACGCAGCGAGCCTCGAGACTCGAAAGCGGAGGCTCCCGGTCGGGTTCCATTTTAGAAGGTCATTTTAATTTCCTGTGTCTGGTTATTGAAAATTATTATCAGCTGAATAATGTGGATGGGTTTCTGTCTGTCTTCTTGTCTGTCCTCTGTCTGTCCTCTCTGTCCATTCTCGTTTCCTTTCTCTTCTATTTAGGGTTTCTTTTTCTCTCTCTCTCTTATTCTGTCATATCTTTCGTTCTCTAACTGTGTGTCGGTCTTTCTTTCTCTTTCTTACTCTTTCTTTCTTTCTTCTTTATTCTCGCTTTCTCTTGTTTTTCTCATTCCTCTCTCCTCTCTCTCTCTCTCTCTAAATCTTCTCTCTCTCTCCTCTCTCTCTCTCCTCTCCATTCTCTCCTCTTTCTCCG